TGCACCCGGACCCCGGTCCGCGGGGGCAGAAAGTTGTGCTCGACCAGGGCCACTCCGGCCACCCCCACCCTCCCAGACTCCGCCCCAGCGGCCCCAGCGGCCCCAGCCTGAGCCATCCATGCAGAGAAGGACGCAGCCTCCACAGTCAGGTGCGAATCAAACCCAGGAGCGACTGTGTTTGCCTGAGACCACGAGGCTGGAAATGACACAGCTTAGCACTCACTGCGAGGAGCAGCTCGCACTCCTCACCTCCCCTCACTGCCATTTTACAGATGCAGAAACTGAGGCATGGAGTTCGCATGACTGCTCAGGGCCACTCAAGACAATAAAGCCCAGTTCTCCTGACTCCGTATAACTCACAAGCCACCCACCCCTTCATCCCGGTGTCCCCTCCTCGGATTCCCAGTGCCTGTCGGGGGACGAGTTCCTCAGAGGCCTTGAGGTGAGTGAGCAGTCCCAGGGCAGAGCCAACCTGGCCTCCTGGCAGAGGGCCCTGGTCCAGGAGGAGTTAACAGCCACAGCAGCCTCTGGGCCCCAGATGCTCTTAACCATGACTCATCACAGCACGTGGCTGCCATTAAAGTTGTCCCTTCACAAAGGCAGGGGACAAGAGGAGGAGGAGGAACTTCAGCTCTCCTGGGTCAGCCCTGAGCTCCAGGATGTCAGAAGAGGAAGTGGGAGGGGACAGGCTACAGAAGCTGACAAGGTGGGCAGGGGACTTGGAGCAGACCCCAGGGGAGCCAGGCAGGTGCGGGGCAGGGACAGAGCTTGGGGGACCACTGCTTACATCAGACGGGCTGCCTCTGTGTCAGCAGGAGTCAGATGCTCACCTGCAAGAATCACCCCAACTCTGGGAGCCTCAGATATAGGCACAAAATAAGGTAATTAATATTCAGCCAGGCGTAGTGGCGCACGCCTGTAATCCCAGTACTTGGGAGGCTGAGGCAGGAGGATCACTGTGAGTTGGAGACCAGCCTGGGCTACATAGTGAGTTCCAGGACAGTCTCAACTACATAGTGAGATCCTGCCTCAA